TTGCTATAGGGTGCGTGCGCTCGCCAGACAGACAGAGAGAGACAAAGAGACAGAAAGCGAGAAATCACCCCCAAGGGGGGATGGCCACGCTGCAATCCCTTCTCCTCCATTCTCCCCTCTGGATCTTGGGCACGCATGCACACGTGCCTGGCGTGAGTTTTAAGCCTCCGGGTCCGGGACACGAACTGCGGTTGACTACGTGGGAGTCCAGCGACATAGCCATTACGCTAACTGCTGGTCCCATCCCAGACACCATTTCTAACAGCTGCTAAGAAGCCAATGCCAGGCTAGATCCCGAAGTGCTTTCAAAGAGAAAAGCGCCTGGAAAGGTAGATGAGAATGCCAGGGCCTCTGCTCCAACTCGGGCCGTCTTCCTGAAGACCCGGTGGCTGTCCCAGCTCGGGCGTCCGCACCACCCCGAGTACATCCTCTCCCTTTCTCTGCCAACTTATGGTCTTCAGAGTTCTTCGACGTTGTCACCTATGGCTCCTCCCTCGGGGGCAGGACGTACCACAGACCCCTATTTTCAAATGGAGGATTGGGGACCAAAGAAGGGCCCAGCGCAGCCCAGGGAGCGCTTGCCGTCAGTGCACACTCCGCAGACCCAGCCCCAAAGTCCTCCACACCTGCAGGAGTCCGAGGCCTCCAGTGACGACAGGGTTCAAGATCTTCGTCTTTTTTTACAGGGGGTATGTGCTCCCGAGAGCGAGCGAGCGAGCACGAGCCGCTCATGGGGCACGGCCATGCTGTAAATCCGTCTTTCTGTCTCTTCCTCATTTTGGAAGTTTGGACACGCAGGTACACAGAACCTGTCCATTTCTCAAGCTGCCGGGTCCGGGACTCAAACCTGGGGGTAGTCCTGGGAATCCAGCTGCTTCAACCACCAGGCCATAGAGTCATCCCAAGACCTTCATCTTTTTTACATATTCCAAACTGAAATCTTTACGTGTAGAGGAAAAAGAGCTGACATCCCTAACTTAACCGTGTTCTGTCTGGGATTATAGCACATCCACACGGTGCTGAAAAGGAAAGTGACTACGGCCCCTTTCAAGACCTGAATTCCAGTCCGAACAGTCGCAGGGAAGGTGACTCAAACATTTAAGGGGATAAATCGGTTTCCACGGACATTAGAAAAGGGAGGGGACGGCAGTTTCTGAAAACCTCTCCTCTCTCCCTGCCGTCTTAGCTTTGTTCCACCCAAACACTGAAGCTGAGAAAAGAAATCAAGTTCTTATCACGCTCCTAACCATTTAATTTAGCTGCTGGTTTGGTTAAAAACCAGTATCCTTGGAATCAGCAGATGATATAATGGTACATGGCTGGACTCCCACTTGGTCAACCGTGGTTCGAGTCCCGGACCCGGCGGCTTAAAACTCACGCCAGGTGCGCGTATGTGTGCATGCCCAGAATCCTGAAAGAAGAATGGAGGAGAAGGGATTGCGGCATGGCCATTTCCCTGGGGGGTGACTTCTCACTTTCTGTCTGTCTGTCTCTCTGGAAAGTGCACGGGCGCCCTATAGCAAAAAATCTCTAAACCCCCCCCTCCAAACCCAATAATCTCTCGCTCTGAACATACATTTTCATAGTCATTTCTGTGTTTTCTCTTAATTGTATTTCTTCAGAACAGTTCCAGGCACATGGCAAAATATGTTGATATTGATAAAAGAATCTCAGAACCAGCAAATAGCGTGACGGCTACATCGCTGGACTCCCACGCAGTCGACCGCAGTTCAAGTCCTGAACCAGGTGGCTTACAGCTCAGGTTGGGTATGTGTGCATGCATGGCCAAGATCCCGAGAAGGGCCTGTGGCATGTCCATCCCCTGGGGGTGACTTTCACTTTCTGTCTCTCTGGCAAGCACATGCGCCCTATAGCAAAAATCTGTTAAGAAAAAAAGAGAAAAAGACTCTCTTCCATTCAATGCACGGAACACCAGGAGCCTCAGCAGCTCGGCCTGTGGCCTGCCCACCCCACCCGCCCCACCCGCCATGTGGGGAACCCGGCTGCGAATGCAGTGGCCATGAGTTTGGGCTCGTCCCCACTTGGACAGGCCTCAGTGCTGAGGGAGGAGGGGCCGGGGAACAGCCTTTTGATTTTCTAGGAGGTGAAAGTGCCTACCTTTACCCTCTGGTTTTCCAGTGCAAATGTGTCTTATGCTGGGACAAGCTGTCATCTGACTATTCAAACACGGAGCGGCAGGGGCAATTTGGGGCCTCCCCCTGGAGCGGTCTCTCTCTTCCCTGGGGGATGTGGGTGGAGGTTGTCAGACTAAGCCTGGGGCAACTCCCTGTTCCTCTCTCTATCCCCGTTCTGCGGGACCCAAGGAGACACCCCAGAGGACTAGACACCTCTTAAAACCGGCTCCCGGGGTTTAAGGGACACAGCCAGTGTGATGGTTAAGGGACTGGACTCCCGCATGACCGAGCAGTTCCAAGCTGCTTCAAACCATGCTGGGTGCAGAGTGCACACGTGTGCTCAAAACCCTGGGAGGATGGGAGAAGGGACTGCGGCATCGCTATCCTCCCGAGGAGTGATTTCTTTCTCTGTGTCTCTCCAGCGAGCACATGTACCCTATGGCAAAAACCTAAAAATAAGTAGGAAAAAAAAAAAAAAAGGGCTTCACTATTCTTCACTTTCAATGAAACGGACCCCAACCACATGCCCTGGAAGTGGGAGGGACTCTCTGGGCTGGACTTGCCACCAGGTCCTGATCATTGTGAACTGCAGATGCGTTGTCGCTGTCACCGAGAGCCCATGGGACTCTTCTTGCAGGGTGCACATCTGCACCCACACCAGAGGGGCCGCAGACGCCAGCCGGCATCCCAGAGAGGGGCGGCAGACACGCTCCCCGGCTCCTTCCCTCAAACCTACAGGGTGGAGGGGAGCAGGCGCGTTTTCGCACCACAGGCAGGCGGCAGTTCCAGGGACGGCCGTGTGGTGCCATCAGGTTTGCGTTGTTAAGACAAATGGGCAAATGGAATTGCTCTCCATTCAATTCTTCCTTATTTTGCCAAAATGATGTTATTGTGCCTTCCACGGGAGAGGGAGAGAGCAGCCCTTGAAGGGGTGTCATCAGTCCTCCTCCCTTTCTTTTCCCTGCCAGAGTTTTGGGCATGCAAGTGCACACATGTGCTTGGCATGTTTTTCAAGCCACAGGGACTGAGATTTGAACCATGTCGTTGGCCACGAAGCCAGCTGCCTTAAACACACCACCTGCCGGCCCTTCACCGTTAGGGATGCCGAATTGCTGATGAAAGCAAGAAAAGGGGAGGCTCGAGGGTGATTTCCAGCGGCAGGTGGAGGCCCCAAAGGAGGTGCTGCTCAGAGCAGGAGGGCGGTGTGGCCAGGCCAAGTCCGGCCCGGAGGTGGCAGCTCTGAGCTCCGAGCAGGACGTCTTGGGCAGCAGCAGAGCCACCACCCGGAGGCCCTCTGTGGTCGCTGCCTCCACAGACTGAAGAGGAACAGGTGTCTCCAGGGGCTGAGGGTCTCCGAGTGTCTCCTGAGTAAGGGGACGTTCTGTGGTGGCTGCAGGCCACCTGTGGTGATGCAGAGTGTGGGTGCTGGGGTGCGTGTACACACGTGTGCGCAGGGAACACGGAGCTGCGGCACATGGCACGCTCCATGATGCACCGGGTCGGGCTCCTCCTCCTCAGAGGCAGGACGCCAGGCCCAGGAGACGTGGGGCGCTCTGGCTGACACCCCGCTCCTGCCGGACTCTGCAGGATACACTGCACGGCCACTCCAAGGGTAGTGCTTGATTTATTCGTATTAAAAACAGTTCTTATATACAAAACAAGCTGGTTTTCGTTTTTGAGGGTTAAAAGCACTCTTTAAAAAATTAAATAAAAGTTAAAGCATGGATTACACGGAATCAGTTTTTCCCAGAAGCACTTCAGTGAACAGATATGCCGCAAGAAGCTCTGACATACGCCAGGCTGGCAGCAGACCTAAGGGGGACCCTGGGTGCACTCACCACAGCTCCCAACCCCGCTGGTGCTGCCGCAGAGGTGAGTCCTGCCAAAGCCGGGGTGCATGGTAGAAAACTCCCATGCGTGCTGGAATCCTGACCCATGGCAAAGCAGGCCCTGGTCACGGTGGAAGGCGTGCAGCTCTGGGCGCCCGGTGGCCTGCTGGACAACCATGCTGCCCAGTACCGCTCTGGCCTCAGTTGCTGCGGGTGCCACGGTGGCCTCAGAACGGAAGGCACAGGTCGGCAGGGCGGCGTGGCTCAGCCTGAACTCAGGGCCAGAGGCTGCTCACTGCCTGTGAGGGTGCCCTGGTGCCAGTCAGGGCCCTGACCTGTCCAGGAGGTGGGCCCCGCAGGGCCGTCCAAGGCATCAGCTGCCTGGGCACATCCCTGCCAGGCTCCGGCTCCTGCAGGGTGGGTGGGAGGAAGGCTCGTGCCCAGTACCGGGCCTCTCACGTCATCAGTGCCCGATGTCTCCGGGACCGAGACTCCACGCAGCCCTAGCAGCGTTCGTTCAGGTGCACAGGTTAAAAGGACACGTGAAACGCGAAGGACGGGGCTCCGGTACTGAGGCTTCTCATGTGGGAATCACGTGAACGGGGAAAGCTGGTCAAACAATCCAGACTTCGGGGCTGAGTGCAGCGCAGCCTCTGCAGGGCCTCACGTGGGTTTCCACACCTGACAGGAGGGCTTACTGTGCTCCCGGGTCATCGTGCTTCGACATCCTGTCCACCGAAGCTGGACGGCAGTTCTCAGAAGACACGCCCTGGCCTCTAGGGAACGGCGTCTTTTACATAAAAGTGCCACAGCAGCTTCCCAGCTGCCACCTTTGGGCACCAGTGATGCCCGGAGAGTGACAGCCAGCTGCCTTGCTTATGTGTGTCCTGCAGGGACGGCTGGGCCTTCCCACCAGCAAGGCTCTAAGTCGTATCTCCATCTTGCTGGCCTGGTCGTGATGGGAAGCAGTGTGGCTTGCTCACCGGAGACCTGTCTGCAGGCCACAAGATGCTGCGCTCCCAACACCCACACCGTGGGACATTTTCTAAAAATACTTTACAGCACTTTACATCATTTACAAAAAGCTACAAAAAGCATATTTACGAGGACACGTCTGTTAAATAACCTTGGCTCATGGGAGTACACGTATGTACAGGGTGCCGTGTGGCGGACGCCGGGGTCTCAGACCAGGCTGCACAAGCGCAGACGCACGGTTGCAGGGAACATTTCGCAAATACGGTGCCGGACGGGCAACGTGCTCACAGCTGCAGGACTGTGCCCTTCACAACGGAGCTGCCACCACTGTCCTCCACGGAGGTGTCGCTGAAATCACTGGCGTCACTGCCCAAGGCCTCCTGGTCTGGGTCACCCCTCTCAGAGACCCTCTGCCGATACCGCAGGTCTAGAACATTGTCCTCTGACCCTGAGTCCCTTCTGTCATGCAAACCCAGCCCAGCCTGTGTCCTCTTCTGTGGCCAGTGGCCCCCTTCCTTCTTCCCGAGCAGGTGCGGGCCTCCGAACACTGGGCTGTGGACTGCCTGGGCCTCCCTGAAGCCCGAGAAGGATGGGCCCTGCAGAGGCAGCCCCAGGTGGGAGCTGAAGAGGCCAGCTTGCTTGCATCCCCAGGAGACGCTCTTTCCGAAGTGGAACAGCTGGGTGGACAGCAGGGGCGAGAAGCCTGGGAAGGGCAGGCTTTTCCTGGGATCTGGCCCCAGGGTGGGTGGACACCGGGCCTGTGCCGCAGACCCCCTCTCTCTTTCGCCCCCTAGGCCACCTTTCCATACAGAGTCTCGACCTTCCAAGCTTAGTGCCCACGGGCTGAGCAACCTGCTCTGGTGGGCAAAGTCGCTCCATGGAAGGGCGAGGCTGGCCTGGGAACCCCTGTCCCTCTCAGCTCCTGGACCTGGAGCCAGCAAGCTCCGGCTGCCGTCACTCGTGCGGAAGGTGCCCCCAGCGCTTCCTGCCTGGCTGTCCGCCTTGCTGCCACAGGGTGACTGCCCGGAAGCACTTGTAGCAGCAGGCTCGAGCCCTCGGGGGCTCTGTGCTTTGTGGACATAAGCATTTCTCCTGTTTGCTGGAGAGCCCTTGGTACAGGCTCTCCCACTGGTGCCCTGGGGTGCCGGCTCACAACTGGCCAGGCTGGTGGGGAGGCCAGTGGTGCACTCGGTATGGGGGGCGCCCTTCCTGCCATGGACAAAGAGGCCAGTTATGGCCGGGGCCCCGGAGCTCTCTGTGCCCCGGAGGCCTTCAGCTGGCTGAGGGGCCCCTCTGGCCCTCTGGCTTCGTGTGCACACGCCAGGCTGTGGGGCTGGGGCTGGCTCCCTCCTGCACAGCGTCTCTGGCCTGGCTGGACCCCCAGGCCCGAGAGTGGCGGGGTTCCCTCCTGGAGCTTCAGAACTGCTCACCGACTCCTTGGCTTTCTCTGCCAAGAACTTCCTGATCTCCAGCTCAATGCTGTCGTCACTGTCCACCGAGCTGCTGTCGTCTGACGGGGAGCTGGGGCTCGGGGCCGGGTGCTGGCAGCCACGAACGCCCATGTCATCGGAGAACAGAGCCGCTTCTGCGACTTTTCTCTGTGAGTGGAGCGCCAGGGCCACGTGCTCGCTCCCCTCGGTTTCGCTGCCGAGGCGGTGCGCAGGCCTCCGCTCTGGCCTCTCCCTGCCCTCTCCCTTGGCCCTGGAGAGGCAGCTCTTCAACACGTGCGGGCGGCCATCCGTCCTGGCTCTCCGGCCGCCGAGCTGGTGTGGGCACTGCGTC